CATTTTTTTTTTCATTTTTTTTTTCTTTCTTGCTCTAGACTTTGCTTGGGTCGCCCGTCTGGTTTTTGAGCCAGTCGAGCCTCTCAAGGATAATAAGAGCACTACAAGAAGTAACACTTTGTCGACCAGAAAAATTGGTCAGCTAGAAAGGCCCATTTTGATTTTTGGTCGGCAAAAGTTATCCGCGACCAATTTTTTGGTCACTACTTTGGTCGCCAATTGAGGGTCGGAAAAGTAATTCGCGACCAAAATTTTGGTTGGTCGGCAAAAGTTGGATTTGCCGACTAAATTTTTGGTCGCTAAATATTTAATTACCGCGACTAATTCATTTAGTCGCTAAAACACTTTGGTCGCGAAAAGTGATATTTTTCCGACCAAATATCTTAGTTGCCAATTGACACATTTCGCGACCAAAAAGTTTGGTCGCCAATTATCACATTCAATGACCAAAAATTTCGGTCGCCAATCGTGACATTCCGCGACCAAAAATTTTGGTCGCCAATTGTCACATTCCGCGACCAAATTATTTGGTCGCCAATTGTCGCATTTCGCGACCAAAAGAAATGTTTGCGCAACTAAAACTTTAGTCGGCAATAGACCTATTCGCGACCAAATCCTTTGGTTTCCAAAATTAATAATTTTAATGACTAATTATTTAGTCGCCAAATGTGCTTGGTGATACACCGACTACTTTATTTAGTCGGCAAAAGTATAACTTACTGGGGCATGAGTGCCCTTACTAGTTTTGGGGCTTTGATTAGCAAAAGCTATTGGGAATTTGGGACAAAAGTACAACATTTCACACTCTTAGTTTCCATGGAATGTAAAAGATCGGAACATTTCCCCATCAATCATAAACATTACAAGACAACTTTATTTCTTTACAATCGTGTCAAGTACAAAGAGAGACAGACACAGAGAAGTCACAGAATCAACTTAACCTTCCCTACCAAAAAAATAGCAAGACTGTCTGCAAGATAACAAGGTAAAAGCTACATACTAAACATTACATTCCCAATATATACATTCATGCAGCAGTAGCATGAAAGTTACCCTTAGATGGCTTCGCACATTCGCTTGCTTCTTCCATTCCGAACTCTTTTTGCTACTCTCTGTTCAGTGTTCAAATCTTCAACACTACAATCATATTCTAAACTAGGATCTGTCAATATCTTGCCACAAGCATTTTGAGGATTTTCTATTTGGTTATTGCATCCAATTGGTGAACCTCCACAGTTTTCATTCACTCCAACTGACAGAACCTTAGCAGGGGTATGATCTACACTCTTAAAGCTTTCTTCTTTACCTTTCTTCACCACTTTGTTATCTTTAATCACAAAAGTTGTAGTTGGAACATCACAAGAGTTGGCCAATCCCATGGCAATCCTCCTCCTCAACCACTGTTTGTCCGTGATAGAAGTTTCCTGTCCAAATGTTGCTTTAAAGGTTTCATGAAGTTCCCTAACTGATAGGTTGTCCAAGCATATTTCACCCTTTAACTTTGAAAAATCAGGCTTTGAACTAGTACAGATAGCAGAAATTGATGATCCACTTTTGATTGGTCCATCTAAAGGGCTTGAGCATTCTCCACCACTTCCAAGCTGATCGATATGACTCTCATTTGAATTTGTTTCCAACGAAGGAAAAGTTTCCTGCAAGGGCGTTGAAATTTGAAGTTTTTTTGTCAAGTGAAGTAAATATACCGTGCCTATTAGATATAGGATATGTGTGCTCATGAAAGTGGAAGACGGATCAAATATTAGTTGCACGAAACTATATTTATTCAAATATACTCCAACAAAAATTAAGTATAACTATACAAAAATGCTAGAGGTCAAATTTTGAACTACACACTAAATTACCAACTATTTTTTCGTTTCTTTGAGATCTGTATGTTTGACAGTTCTATCATAGTTGGGCTGAGTTTATTCCACTACGGGAGCAGGTTTCTCTTTTACTTAGCACTGTTAAATTGAGTTTCTGAGTAAGAAACGTCACCCTACGAGTTTCCTACTACTTAATCAAATCATCCTCAAGCCAAGCAAACAACCTCAGATTGTTTAACCCTTTCCAAAATATTCTTTATATACAATATAAAAGAATAAAGGCCAAAAGGATCAGAGATATACTAGTACCCTGATATCATCACAAATGTGTTAACATGCAAGAAAAAAAATAACCCAGGAAATACCAGCAATATCAGTAATAATAGAAAAAGTATTACTAAATTAACAAAGAAAAATAAAAGAAAAGAAAAGAAAACTTTATTTAAAAGAAAAAGAAACCTATCAACCAAGAGACTACGATTCCTAAATTAGGCACGATAGTAAAGAATTAATATGTGAAAATTCCAATTTTATCAATCTAATAAACTCGTGGAAGAAAAAGCAAAATGGCAGTACCTGCTGTAGGAAAGAAAGGCCAAAAACCACCTCATGTTCATCGTCTAATTTCCCCATACCAACTCCTGTGTCAAGCTGAGCATTTGACCTTTCTGCATTAACTTCAGGGTTCTCAGATTGACTTGGAAAACATTTGTCAGTCAACTAAATTACCCACAGAGAGAACCAAAGAGAAAGAAGCCCAAATACATCAATACACATGTAGATACACAAACAGATCTAGTGAGCAAGTGTTGCGAGTATTGAGATTAAAGCAGGGCATTCCACCTCCAAAGAGTCAGAAAAATAAATGATTTCTTTTTCTTCTTTTTTTGGATCGGCAAAAGAATCTTTATTGATTATAACAACTGATGATGATTATAACAACTAGAAAGAATCTTTATCGAGGCATCATAGCTCGATATAGCAATCCCGACTAGGTTGGCACCACCATACGAGCCCAATCATTTGCTAGCACACTGCCAAGGTTGGAGAGTCACCAACCAAACATCACAACCAAAACCAGAAAAATCTACAAACAATAACTACCAACAAACAAAAGGAGAGCATAAGTACACTCAACAAAACCAGTAAACAAAGCACCAGCAGCTCTCAGACCCTTTCAACACACTAGCAACCAGCCTGCACTTTCAACAAAGCCAGACTTACCTCAAACAGTGTTTAACCTGCTTAAGATTAGACACACACCAAATTATGCAATATAACAATCAATTTTCATCACATCACATGTTAGAGAAATCTAATCTTACTAGGTGAATGAAGAGAAATGAATGTTTTTAATCTAATCTTTCTTTTCAAAAAATATAAAAATCATGTTTAGATCTATAAGACCTATTGTATTATAGAGAGATGATATGTATGGGACATGAGGACAGTTGAGATAAGGGACCTTCTAATAACAGTCTAGTATAATTCTTTATGAGGACAGTTGAGATAAGGGACCTTCTAATAACAGTCTAGTATAATTCTTTATGAAGCTCATTTTCATAGTTTCACAATTATACTATCTAACCAAATGACCGTATATACATTAATTGGAAAGAATCATATAATTTCAGCTAATGAGTTGAAGAAGTAAAAAACCGTTTGAAATAAGATAAGTAAAAATCACCACTTTTACATCGAGGCAAGGATCATTGACCATATCCTTTAATTGAGAAGTTATGCAGCCATTCTGTAATTTTGCAACCCGACTGCGTGCACCGGGACTACTTGGAAAGGTGAGATTTACGACAGTCCAGACACAAGCTGTGCGTAACCTGCTGTCATTACTCTGCAAAAGCTTGATCATAATTGATTGGATGTTGTCACCTATTTGTGGGAAAAGTTGGTCCATGACTGCTTCCTTGTGGAATTCATTCCCAGATGCCACATTACTGAGCACGTACATACCCTATATCAGAAAGGTTTCAAGATCTATCAAAAGCAAAACAATCGCATAATCCCTATTCCAGGCATGTTGTAGATCTGTTATATAATGGCAAACAAGACGATTTCTCCAATTTCTGCTGACTACCATTTCGGGATGAGTTGGAAATTTGAACCAGTTTCATGCAAAATGAAACTCATCAATTGAAATCATAAATCAGAATAAACATTTAAAGAGTTCTTCGCTTTAAATTAGTGCAACTTTGCAGCTACCTTCTGATCTACTCTAATACAAGTTCACCATTCAAGAAAGGTACATTTAATTCTTATTAAAAGTTTATGTTGCAGACGTTATAGATGCATATAAATGTCAACCAAAATTAAGTACAACACAAACACCATTATTATTGGCTGAGAAAATTGAACGAAGCAACTATAAATGGAAAAATAGAAGTAAACCTTTTCTATGCTGCAGGCATTATAGATGCATATAAATGTCAACCAAAATTAAGTACAACACCAGCACCATTATTATTGGCTGAGAAATTGAATGAATCAACTGTAAATGGAAAAAGAGAAGTAAACCTTTAGTTCACTGAATGTGCTTGCAGCAGTAAAACACACAGAAATCGGGAAAAAGACTGATGCATCTACTGGAGGGACAACAAACTCCATAGATCCACTGCCAAGTGTTCCAAAATGAAGTTAGAAACCAAACAAGCACTACAGATTGTAGAATGCACAATAAATTTTAGTTTTTAAATAAAAGAAACATCATCATATGCTGACCTGCAGTTTGAGTTATCAATGAGAAGTATGGACCACTGTAAAATGGAATTTCTGGAAGTGAGAAAACATACAGGTATTGTAAACCCAACTCCATTGAACAAGAGAAGTGGAACAAAACCCATTTATTGGTGAGCAAATCATTAAACTGTGTACCTTCTAAAAAGTCTGTTGAAAGTGAAATCAAAAAATGGAGTAATCAAAGCAGCTATATGAGGTTTTTGCAGTAATTATTGTGGGAATATCAAGCTATAATTTTAAGAAGTTACATAACAAGATCTTGATAAGCTGGTACATCAATTCCATTTCCTGAAAGGTCATTTTAAAACCATTTTGAAGTGGTATAGATGAAACATCAAAAATGTATAATACATTTTTCAAATTTTGCGGGAAAAAGAAAAACAACAAGTGGTCCCAAAATAGTTTTCACATTTTGCCTTCTCTCATAGTGCTAAACAGAGACAAATGATGTGAAAAGCATATCAATGCAAAATAATCATGACTTCCAAATAAATAAATAAAAATAGTCTTTCCTACAAAATGCAATTATATTTTGGAGGATATAGCTTTTACCATGCCGTTCTAATCGACCCAACATCCATTTCTCCTAAAATTGATCTCAACTATAACTCACAATCCAAGACTCCATCAAATAATTGCTTAGCTCTCAAACAATAATGACCTAAAATTGTATGAACATAAGATTTGATAATAACATAAATTAAGAATTCACCTCCATTCACTATCATTCTGCTTTACATTTGGTGCCTCTCTAAGAGCTGGAAGAGGTGCTGAAATCACAACATTCTGCAAATCAAATGTTGATGAAGCTTCATACTCGATACTGACGTAAGTTTCAGTTCCAGAAATCGAGGGCCAACAGTTGATTGAGATTATATAGGTGAAATTAGATGGCGAATCAATAAATCCACATTACATCCATCATAGCACAGGTTTGCTTTATGACCTCAATCCTCTCTTCTTTCATAGCCCCCAAATTATATATATATATATATATAGAGAGAGAGACCGAGGGCAAAGGCTAGAGAGGGAGAGAGTGAGAAACAGAGAGAGACAAACAGACAGACCGAGAGTGAGAGAGAACCTGTGAGGATGCGGCGGCGGCGGTGGCGCTAGCAGTGGCGTACGATGCTGGTCAGTGATGAGGTGAGATTGAGTGAGGATCCCATAGAAATGAGGAGTCCATTAGACAGAGGGCGATGGCGATGCGCGACGGACATGAGCAATGGTGGTGAGGGACTTCGGTGAGCCAGAGAGAGTGGGTACCGAATGAGAGAGAGAATACAGAGAGAGGGAAAGGGCGGATCAACATATAGAGAGACACAGAGAGCGAGCTGGAGACAGAGAGGAGAGACGGGATTAGAAATGGCGACCAAATTTTTAGAGAGAGTGGGTACAAAACGACGTCGTTTCATAAATGGCGACCAAATTTTTTTTGTCGCAAAAAATTTTCATTTCCCCCCTCCATGTTTCAAATTTCCCTCCCAAACTTTTCGCGACCAAATGACCCGATTAGTCGCAAAAAAGGTACTTTCGCCGACAAACTTTTTTAGTTGCCAAATCTCAATCAACGACCACTAAAATATTAGTCGTTAAAAGTACTAATTTGGCGACTAATTTTTTTTGGTCGCCAAAATGTAACCTTCCGCGACCAAATTTGTAGTTGGTCGTCAAAAACATACCAATTTCTGCGACTAACTCATTTTTGGTCGCCGGAATGTAACCTTCTACGACCAACTCATTTTGGTCGCCAAAAATAATGATCATTCGCGACGAATTAATATTTTGGTCGGCAAATGTGAGTTTTTTGCAACTAAATTTTTTTTGGTCGGCAAAAGTGGTCAGCAAATGTGTAAATTCTTGTAGTAAAGGTTTAACTTGTCCATGTTGATCAATTTTGATATCTCGAAGCCATCTGAATCAAGGCGAATGGCTGTTGTTCGCTGATGATGTAGGAATCCATCTAATCGGGTCTTAATTTGCTCCTAGTGTTGTGGATAGGAACCCGATTGTCCTTTCAGCAAAACTTTTCTTCTTTTAGATTTTGGAATTTGGCTTTCTTGTCAATGTAGACACCCCATTTTTGACCGCCCTCAAGACTTGGACGTCACCGTTTGAACACCCGGTGATCATCCATGTTTGTGTTCATTTGGAGTTCCCAGAGGTCTCGGCTATGCGCCTTGCCTCAGGATCTCCGAACTCGACTGTTTAGTGTTTGGTTTTGCACCAAACACTTGTGTTTTGCCTTGGAGGGGCAGGGAATGCCTTGTGAGGCATCCCCACACATCACCGGCCATGGCCAGATAAATTTTAGAGCCTACGGTGAAATTTAATTGAAAATTGATTCAGATCAAATCAAATAGATTAAATTAATGAAATGATGCCCAATTATTTAATATAAAAGAATGTATTTGAAAGGGAGCTTTTAAAGGGTCTTATTATATTTAATTCCTCCTCTTTTAAATCACTTTGGTTGAGATCAACTCTCTAGATAAAGAGAGAACTGACTTTGAGAGAGAGAGAGAAGGCATCTTTGTGCATTTTTGCTTAAGATTTGTGAATTGGGAAGGCTAGGTGCAAGATTTGACCACAATTGTGAGAATTAAGGCTCCTAGGTGAGTAATCAACCCTTGACTCATGGATTTTAGTTTGTAATTGGTAAATTCAAAGTTGAATGATGATAAAGAACATGTATTGAGTTGGTTTTGATTAATTAGAAGTCAATATACACATGCATGTAGGAAATTATCATGAATTTGTATGTTTGAGCCTGAAATACATGATCCATGTTGAATCTTTGCTTGAAGTTCATGTTTGTGATCACCATTTGCACCATGTAAGTTGAAACGGGAGTTATAATCCACACGCATGTACAATTCATGAGAATATGAGTTTGAAATACATGGAGTTGTTATGATGGGAACAAGTTTTGTGTAATTTGAAACATGCATGTAAGTAATTCAAGGAATTGAGCTTCATAATGTTGTAATTTTGTGTTTGTACCATGTCAGTACATGTATATGTGATGCTTAAGCCATAATATGCAAGATATGTTGATTTGAATGTTGAATTTGAGCTTAAGAACAGTTCTGGCATTTCCAGAATTTGGCATGTCCGCTCAAGCGGGGAAAGCGCCGCTCGAGCGGGAAATTCGGGCTCCCAGTAATTTTGCAGACATGATGTCCGCTCGAGTGGGGAAGTTCACACTCAAGCGGGGAGCTATGTAGAATGACCTGCAGCTCAAGTGTCCGAGTTCACACTCGAGCGTAAAAACGAGGCAACCAGTACTTTTGCAACCTAATGGGTCTGCTCGAGCGGGAAAGTCCACGCTCGAGCAGGGACCCCTGTTTCAGAAATTTTGCAAACATGTTCTATGTTTTGTTTTCCGTTCTCTTTCACTTCTATGTACTCTTAGGCATGCATTGAGCACTATGAATGAATTAAAAGGATAAGAATGAAGCCTAAAGAGCAATATGTGAATTAAGAACGAATTGGATTTTTTGTGACCCATTGTGTTCATAGAATGTGTAGGGTTGAGCTCTTGGGCAAACCATCCAGCCGATCACTGTGAGTAATATCTTAATAAAGATATTTGAAATATGTTGTTTGTCCAATTGCTTACTTCTGTGTAAGTCGTATAAGTTCGTTAATTTGAATGGTGGACAAATGTTTGCTATGCCAAACGAATGGGCCAAAGGCCAGTTTGACACGAATGATAGAATGAATGGGCCAAAGGCCAGTATGACATGAATGATAAAATGAATGGGCCAAAGGCCAGTTTGATATGAATGAAAGAATGGAAGTGCCAGAGGCCGTATGACATGAATGAATGGGCCAGAGGCCGTATGACATGGATGATAGTCTAACTCGAATGATAGTCTGACATAAATGAATGGGCCAGAGGCCGTATGACATGAGTGAATGGGCCAGAGGTCGTATGACATGAATGAATGGGCCAGAGGCCGTATAACTTGAATGAATGGGCTAGAGGTCGTATGATACAAATGAATGGGCCAGAGGCCGTCCGACATAAATGATACGAATGAATTGGGCCTGAGGCCGTATGATGTGTTTGGAACCACAGTCACTTGACCTATATTTATATATAAGCTAGATAGAAATATGAATTGGGCCCAAGGCCGTTTGAAGTACGTTGTTCTAAATATCGTTTGTGTAACTTCTTTATTTGATATTATTCACTGAGCTTTTGCTCACGCTCATTCATGTATCTGTAGGTGAGCCAAGAGAGGTCCAAACCCAACCTGAGTGAAGTTTGTATGGAACAACCAAGGTTTTGAAGAGTCAGCCCTTACGTCTCACGCACGAGACTCGTCTATCCTGGGTTATTTTGTCATGTTGGCGAGGACTTTGGATACATTTGCATATAGTTTTGATTGGCTGACTTAGACTTGAATGATCCTGTCTGTACAAAACTTTATGTTACTGTATTTTCTGATGTGAGTTATTAATATGTATATGTATGGTTTGTTATGACGTGCCATGTAAGCACAACTCTATGGACAAAGTTTTAAATTTTACTTCCGTTTGGCCCCTTCACTCTGATGAGTTATGTCTGATTTGGTTTGAGGCCATAGGTAACTCAAGATTACTGGCCGGTTATGTCCTTAACTCATGGGGGCGGGTTCAGGTCATGACAGAGTGGCATTAGAGCACGAGTTAATAACTCACACACTTGTCCAAAAGAGCAATAAGCATCTAGAAAAGATCTTGGATGCATTCATGTGATAAGTATGAATTTGGAAGTATCGAGAATATGCTTAAATGTTTTGATGTGTTATGAGTTTGTGATTTGCTTGCATTGTAAATTATTTGAATATGTATGCTCTTTAGTATATGCATACTTGTGAATCTTTTGTATAAAGTATAATGCAAGTTTAATCAGATGGTGAGAACAAGAGGTGATGAGATAGAGGAGTCCTCTACTGCCAGAATGGATAGAATGAAGAGATTGATTCAGGAAATGGCAGAATCATTGAGGCAACAAC